GGCGCCGCCGGGCTGGCCGAGCACCAGCGGCGGCACCGCGGCAAGGCGCGGCCGCGGCGCTGCCGCACCTGCGGGGAGACGTTCCGCTTCCGCGGGAACCTGCTGGAGCACCGGCGGCGGCACCTGGGCGAGCGCGTGTACCGCTGCGAGCGCTGCGGCAAGAGCTTCTTCTACCTGGGCTCCATCGCGCGGCACCTGCGCGGCCACGAGCGCCGCGCGCGCTGCCCGCGCTGCCGGAGGAGCTTCGCCCGGCCCGCGGCGCTGCGGCGGCACCGCTGCCGAGCCCGGGAGGGCAGCGAGGGCGCGCCGGGGGCCGGGCAGTGAGCGCGGCACCGGTGGGGCGGCACAGGTGAGGAACGGCTCGGTCCGGCCCAAAACGGCTGAAATCGGCCGAGGATGGAGCGGATGGGTCGTGACACCGAGGCCGGGGTGTCCGTCCTGATGGACAGACGGACAGACGGACAGACAGGCTGATTGATGGCTGGGGTGACTGACAGCTGGGCTGATTGACAGCTGGAGTGATGGACAGACGAACACCTGGCTGATGGACACCTGGGCTGATTGACAGCTGGGCTGATGGGCCTATAGACAGATGGACATCTGGTCTGATGGACACCTGGACAGATGGACACTTGGCCCAATGGACACCTGGCTGAGGGACAGATGGAGACCTGGGCTGATTGACAGCTGGAGTGATGGACAGATGGACATTTGGGCTGATGGACACCTGGGCTGATGGACAGACAGACATTTGGGCTGATGGACAGCTGGTCCAATGCACACCTGGTTGATGGACACCTGGGTTGATTGACAGCTGGAGTGATGGACACCTGGCTGATGGACAGATGGACATTTGGGCTGTTGGACACCTGGTCCAGTGCACACCTGGTCTGATGGACACCTGACTGATGGACAGATGGACACTTGGCCAATGGACACCTGGTCTGATGGGCATATGGACAGATGGACACCTGGGCACGGCCCCACCCCCCGCCGGACACCGGGGACCCCCAGGCCCCCCCGGCGGTGCTGGCGCCGACCCCGAATCTCCAGGAACTCTCGCAGCTGCCCCTCCCCCACCCCGGGATGGGGGTCCTGCTATATACAGCTGAGGGTTAAGCT